GTGCGATAGCCAGTTTTCTGGGTAAAGTACGTGGAAGTCCAAATCAGCTTTCAATCAGCAGGATTGTTAATTTAGCAGGCAGTGATGCAGAGAGGGAGCAGTCACTCAGCCTTGGGAGGATGAGAAGAGGGCAACCAAGTGAGCCTCCCCCCCACCCCAAGGAGAATAGGAGGTTGGCCCCATCGAAGGATGGCCAGAGCCTGGCACATTCAGACTACAAGCTGTTCCTTTGGGTCTTCTGATGTGAAATATCAGTCCTGGTTCTTTTCTATAAAACAAAAAACCTGGTGCTCCCTAGGTTCAGACTGGCAGAACCTGTCAACACAGGGCTACAACCTTGGTATTTTTAATGGGAATGTACATCTGCTCACTCAATTCTCTCTCTAACTCTCCCTCCCTCTCTCTCTTCCTCTCTCCTCTCCCTCTGTGTGTGTGCACATTTTGCTTTAATCAAAGGCCCTTCTTCATTACTGAAGTCAAGCATTTCCACCCAGCCACAAAACAATGCCAGCATCCAATTTGCTGTGGTGACTGTCTATCTTGAAGCCACAGCCAAACGGCATGCCCTAATTTGTGAGCATGCCAGGCAGTATAAGCACATTAATTGTTGAAGGCCCCCCCCCCCACTTTACTGCACTCCCTTCAGCAACTATTCATCTGGGTGATACAGCAGGAGAATTTTGTCTATCTTTTTTAGGCTATTTGTTCCCCTTGGGAAATGCCACTTTGGGCATTAAAGTAGTGAGAAGTTAAAGTTAAAGGAGGGAAAATATCAGCTGAAGTAGGGCCAAACAGAAGGGAGAAAGAACCATCCTGATTGTGCAACCAGCCAGTCCTAGAATCTGACATGGAGCAGCTTTTGAGAAACCGCTCCTTTCCCTCCATAGAAAGTAACTGAAACTGACAAATATAGGGAAACTGGCATATAAGCAATAAGGACTATTACCTCTGGATAGTACAAGGAGGAAATGTTGGATAGCTGCACCTTAAGGTAAAATGATATCAGGATACTGTCAAAAGTGGTGAGAAACAACCTTCTCTTTTTTTCACCAAATAAAAACCGTGAAACCTTCCTTTTTCCATTCCCTTGTTAGAAACCCAGAAAAAAAGTTGGTGTCTCAAAAAAGGGGGAGACAGATATGAAAGGAACTCAGAAAAGCAAGTGGTGGTGGGGAAATAGCAAATTATAATTGTGTCCATCTTAGATGAAGAAGACAGTTAAGAGGAGTGTAGAAACAGAGGACGAGGGGAAGAAATGGGTGCTGCACAGTGCAATCCTAGACCTGGGGCAGCGAAAGAGGGTCGCTCCTTAGGATCGCCGTCGCTCGGAATCCTAAGCCTTCATCATTACAAGCTCGGTTTTTGTCGACCACCGCCCCCAGCCTTTTTCTCCCCTTCCCCTTCCCTCTCCTCGCGATTCTCCTGAATAGCAAGCCCCTTTGGTTCCGAGTAAGATCTACTCGGTTCCCTCCCATCTCTCTCCTGCTACCAGGACCAATGTCCTGGTTTGCAATTCGCAAGTCGATCGGGTTCGTTATTCCCCAAATCGAAACTGAACTCACTTCCCCGATCCTGTTTATAACCTGATAAAATATTTCCACCATCCCCTTTTTTTTTTCAAAATGAGTTTTTATTGTGCTGCTGGTACAACTCCACTGGCCTCTCAGTTCAACTGGGTTGGCGGGGAGTAGGGAAACGGGCCGTTGCTAAGAAGTTGTCTGGTCAGAGAACCAAAGTCTGGTCTGATTAAACTGGATGGGGATCACCAGGGAATTCTAGGATCGCGGGCTACAGACCATGGCCGAGCCCCTTCGTGTTATTGTCGCGAAACCTGCATGGAGCTGACCGGAAGTCCAGCTCGACTGGAGTGTGAGTCTGTGTGTATTCTGTTTTCCGAAACGGGCATTAATTAGCACCTTCTTCCTGTCTTCAGCAACCGCGCAACCACTAAGAGACGCGCAAAGTCTCAGTGCGCAAGTCTGTTCGATCTGCGGAGCTCCTGTGCGTTCAACCTGCTGCGCTCTAAACTACTAAGGGGCGTCCTTTCTGTGCTCTTCCTTTCCTTCAATTCCTCCAAATTCGTGGGTTCCCAGGATCCAGACATGAGTGCGCAGCTGAAAGGAAGCCCGGACAGAAGTGCTAGCGAGAGATTTTTGCGGGTCCTTGGCAAACCCCCTCGTGCTGGCTGCTAAGTTTCCACTCCTCAGTCGGGTTCTAAAAATATCTTGCAAGGCAAGAGAAATTCTGAGATCTTCCTTCTCTCAAGCCAAGCTCTACTCCAGAGCCCCCATCTTCACCGGCACTGGCCCAGCCGGCTCAGATGAAGAATCCTGCTTGTTCTCTTGCGCAAAGAAGGCGCCATCCGGCTTGTTCTCTTGCCCTTACTTTCATGGGGCACTTCTTGCCCGATTGCTGACTTAAAGTATTGGTTTAGCCAAGATACACTAACTCAGGGGTAGGCAACCTTGGCTCTTTTATGACTCGTGGACTTCAACTCCCAGAATTCCACGCTGGCTCAGGAATTCTGGGAGTTGAAGTCCACGAGTCATAAAAGAGCCAAGGTTGCCTACCCCTGCACTAAGTGAACGGTTTCCCTTCACTATACACGCACCGTCTGGGAAAACCTCCTTGGGGTTAATAACACCTTGCAAGTTCAGCCGAATGGAGACCTGCTAACTCTTTAACTGAGCTGCTTAGGCAGGTTTGTGTGATCGCGACCTGAGCTCAGAGCCTCAGACTGAGTCGCCTCCCCCACACCCTAGGCTAGTCTCCGGATTGCCTTGCTTCTCCCCTGCGGTTGCTTGGGTACGTTGCTGGGATAAAGCCTAAAGTCCTGCCTTACTCCCAGGACTGTACCTTCAATCTGGGATTCTGCGCATCGGCCATGGGCAGGCAATGCACCGTCGGGGAAAAAAAAATTGGCTGCGTTCATACAACCTGCTAAAAAACATAGCAGTTGATTAGATTTCTTCCCCCTCCCCCATACATCACAGCGTTAACTCGATGGCCCGGTTAATCATAAACTAGGACTCAACCTATTTCACCTGATTCGAACTCGCCCAGTGAGAGCATTAGGATTAAGCTAAAAGAGTAACCCAGTTTATTCGGAAGGCGTTTTAGTGCACCAGTTCGAGTTTACATCTTGTTTAGTGGAAAATCAAAACCGGGCGGTTAAACAAGGGGTTTAGTAGGCATTTCCCGATAACAATCGTAAACTAAAAGTCTGGATGGAAACAACTTGGAACCAATGGATTAACTTTCGAGGAGACGCGTTTAAAACCGGGATGACTCTTCGCGTTTTTAAACTGCAGTACCAATTTTTACGCAAAAGAGGCGAAATTGCTAAGGGGTAAAAATATTGCTGCCTTTGACTAAGTGTGGTTTTTTTCACTTGAGCAAGGTGTTCATACATCTGTACGTACATCATCTCGCCCAAAGAGAACTTCCTTTTTATATTAATTGATTCGCATTTCACCCAATGGAAGAAACTATTTTGCCATCGGCCATTAGGAAACAAGCGGCGGGGGGGGAGGACACTGACACATTTGTTCTCCGCTTATTCACTGATCCGAAAACATGTTTATTTGGTAATGAATTGGTCCTCAATCAGCAGCGCGTTACTACAGAGTCATTAAGGCGTGCACGCTTCGACACACGGAACTGCGCAATCCTGGGCGCGTCGCCCCAAATATCAGTTAATGTGAGATCAAATGAACTTACTTCCAAGTAAGTGAACCTGCGAACGGGGCCGAAGGAATTGTGCCGGAATTCACTGATGGCGCTAGTTTTAAAAAGTTCAAAACGGAACTGCCAAGATTTGGCTTAACATCCTAACTAGAAAGAACGGGCTTATCCGTTTCTTTTCAAAGATTCGGGTTTTTTTTTAAAAAAACGGATGCAAAGAAATTCCCACATAGAAAATTTCCAACGGAATAAGAGGAAACTGGCTATTAAAAAGTATTCACCCAGAAGCCTTAAAACCCAACTTCGGGAAATGCAGCCGCTGGCCTTTCCTCCCCTCCCACGCGGCCAGTTCGCGTCTTTATTTATCGCTTCCTCATACGCAAAGGGAGGTCGCGCGTGCAAAAAGCAGCTTTGGAAAAAGCTGGTTAAATTTAGCGACAGAACACGGGAGACAGAAGGGAAGCAGAAAGTTCTGTGAAAAAGACTCATTCAGCAAAAAACGTCCTACCTTCTAATACTATCAACCCAAACAACCTTTTTGTCTTTTTTTTTTTGAGGGGGGGGGGAACCGGAGGTCCGGTGCAAATAATTGCCCCTGAGCCTGCCTGGGTTGGAAATCTCTGGCGCAACTTCGTTCGGTTCAGCGGAAAAGCGTTTGGGGCAGGGGTAGGCAACCTCGGCTCTTTTATGACTCATGGACTTCAACTCCCAGCTGACTCGGGAATTCTGGGAGTTGAAGTCCATGAGTCATAAAAGAGCCGAGGTTGCCTACCCCTGGTTTGGGGCTACTCCGGCCAGAGGGAAGAAGGTTTCGCCGGCTGCACAAATCAAGGCAAGGGCTTCTTCAGCCGCTAGGAGTTTTCAAGGCTACTTAGTGAGATAACGGCAAAGCAATCTGGACCAGCTTCGCATCATTGGCAGCAGCATCCTTTTACCTTTTAGCCGGGATTTATAGGAGGTGGAATCGGACTCCCCGAAACTTCTCAGGATCTTTCTGGGATGCCCAAGGCCTAGGAGGGGAAGTTTGCCGGCGCGAGTCTCCGCTCGCGTCCCAAGTTGGCGGGTCTTCTAGCACTCCGCGACGCTTTTCTCCGAAGCGAAGTTGCCGAGGACGGCAAGCAGATGGAAGCCTCCAGTAGCTTCGGCCAGTAGCCAGACCCGCAGAGCTGCCAGAAATCCAGCTTGGCGGGGCTGAGCTGGGCTAAGCTGAACGCCGTTCCTTCGGGGCGCGTCTCTGCCCAGGCTTCGGTCTCCCGGATTCCCTTCCCGAAACCCAGGCGATCCAGTTCGCCCGGGGGTGGTGGTGGTGGTGGTGGTTGTCGTGGTGGTGGTGGACCTCAAAGCATCTCTCAGCGGCGTCGGGGAAGCGGGTCAGCGGGCGAAGCTCTGACGGTCAATCTCGGGCGGGGCGGGGCTTCCACCAGTCCCGCGGGGCAGCAGCGGCGGAGGGGTCCCGGGGCGGCCCCCACAATGCCCGCGAATGGGGGTCCTGGATAAACCCGAGGAGCGCCGCCCCGAAGAATGGCGCGTCATCGCAAGGAGCCCCCTCCGCCCCCGACTCTTTTGTCTCCCGACTGCTCGCAGCCCTATAAAAGCCCCTCGCCTTCGGTGGCGAGCTTAGATCAAGCCCGGGCGCGTCCGGCCGTCGGTCGGGTCTCCCGGAGAGGGAGCGGGGAGGGAGGGCTGCAGCATCCGCCGGCCGGCCAGGCCCCTTTTCGGACTCCTCGTATTGCCTGGACGTTAAGGGCACTGCGGCTGCCGCCTGGGGGGCTCTCCTCCTCCTCCTTCCCCGAGCTGGGAAGCCTCTCCCGCCCCGCCTTCCTTCTCCCGGCCCAGACCATGAATTCTGACTCCAGCTCCGTCTCCAGCAGAGCCTCCTCGCCGGACATGGAAGAGCTGTACCTGAGGGACCACCACCACCACCATCACCACCACCACCACCACTCGGTCTCCTCCACGCAGAACGAAGTGGGGCAGAAGGGCTCGGGCGAAAGCCTCTCCCGGAGCGGCGCCAAAGGGTCGGCGGGCGAGAGCAGCAAGTACAAAATCAAGAAGCAGCTTTCCGAGCAGGACCTGCAGCAGCTGCGGCTGAAGATCAACGGGCGGGAGCGGAAGCGCATGCACGACCTCAACCTGGCCATGGACGGGCTCCGCGAGGTGATGCCCTACGCCCACGGGCCGTCGGTGCGGAAGCTCTCCAAGATCGCCACGCTCCTCCTGGCCCGCAACTACATCCTGATGCTGACCAGCTCGCTGGAAGAGATGAAGAGGCTGGTGGGCGAGATTTACGGCGGCCACCACGCGGCCTTCCACTGCGGGACTGTGGCCCACGCCGCCGGCCACCCGGCCCACGCCGCCGGCGCCGTCCACCCCATCCTGGGCGCCGCCCTGGCGCCCGCCGGCGGCGCTTCCCTACCCGGCCTCGGCGCGCTCCGGCCTCCCCATTCCTTGCTCAAGACGCCTCCCGCCCCGCCCGCCCTTCAGCTGGCCGGAGGCGGCGGAGGGGGCGGCGGCGGCGGCTTCCAGCACTGGGCCGGCCTGCCTTGCCCCTGCAGCATCTGCCAGATGCCCCCGGCCCCGCATCTGGCCGCCCTTCCCACCCCCACCGCCGGCCTGGCCCGCCTCTCCACGGAAGCCAAGGACTTGCTGAAGTAAGCAGCCGGCAGGCGGAGCTGGACAGATCCGACGCCCTTTGCCTGTTGTGGGGGGGTTGGGGGGGAAGGTTTGAGCGGAGTCCGAGAAGCTCATCCTCCGTCCCGGGGGTGGGGTGGGGTGGGGTGGATCTCGCGTGCATGCCTCGTTGTCTTCTCTTCCCCAAACGGCCTCCCTCCTCTTCTCGCCCCGCTTTCCCGCCTTCCTCCCGGTCGGCCTGGTCCCAAGAAGTCCTTTCGCTTGAACTGGGGGGGGCAGGGGGGGCTGGCATCCAGCGTGCAGGGAGAGACTTTGCAAAGGTAACTGTTGAACTGGATTGGGGGGGGGGAGGAGGGCAGTTCGCCTTTCTTTCCCCCTCCCTTCCTCCCTCCCCCCCACGAGAGGTTAGCCTACCGACCCCGTTGGCTCCACCGGACCGGGTTGGGACGAGCACAGGCGGGAAAGAGGGAGAGGAAGCCGGCCGGTGAAAAACGGCGAGGAGCAACTCGTCTCTTTCTCCGCCTCTCTCGGACTTGAACTTGCACGCGGTTGTAAAAGTCGCGGAGGGCGCTCTTCCCCCATCCCGCTTGAGCTTTCCCAACTTTTTCCTCTGGATGCGAATTCCTTTCCCACGTCGGGGGTGGGGTGGGTGGGGGGGTGCGGCGCGCGTCTTATCCACGCACTGGCTTTGAACCGCTGCAAAACTTTCCCGGGATTCAGTGCCAACGGCTTACTTCGGAGGAAGGGGTAGGTGGCTGCAGTTGACCCGCTGGAGCTCTACAAGTGGTAGCGTCGGGGGCGGAGGGCGAGGGGGGGGAGGAGGTTAGGTTTAGGGTTCATTCCAAGAAAAGTAGCCGAAGCTCAGCCTGTTTGTTGCCACCTGTTTCAACGGAGAACCCTAAGAAAGACCTGGAGCCGCGCGGCTCTGTTGGTTGATTTGACGCTGGCGACCAATTTAATTGCTTTCGGGATTCCTAGAGCAGGGGTCCCCAACCTTGACAACTTTGAGACCTGTGGACTTCAACTCCCAGAATTCCCCGGATTCCTAGAGCAGGGGTCCCCAACCTTGACAACTTTAAGACTTGTGGACTTCAACTCCCAGAATTCCCCAGCCAGCTATGCTGGCTGGGGAATTCTGGGAGTTGAAGTCCACAAGTCTTAAAGTTGTCGAGGTTGGGAACCCCTGTCCTAGAGGTCCTGGGCAGCAAACACGCAGACCTGAGCCAATTGGGGTAGAAACAGCTTTGTAAAATTAAAGAACAGGCGAAGATTTCTTCCTGGGCAAACCCTTTAGCCGAGTTTTTTTTGGGGGGGGGTCTTTTTATTCTCCCTCGTTGCCCACGATGCCTGTCTCTCACCACCCCTCCACCCCCCCTTCGGCGAGGAGTTCCGGAGCGCTCGTAAGCCTCACTCTCTTTTGGTGACCGACCGTTTGATCTGAATGAAGGATTTTTGCAGCTTGGCCGACCGTAGCAACCGGTTTTCGGGGGGGAGGGGGGGGAGGGAGCGAACGTAGGTTACCTGACAGTACGGATCGGTCGAACCTCTGGGACTCGCTTCATTTCCTCCTTCATCTGGGCTGCTCGTTCCTAAAGAATGCTTCTCTGTGTCCCGAACCCTGTTGTGCTACGCCGGGTCGTTTTTCTTGGAACAAGAACAGTGGATGGAAAACTAGGGGGGAAACAACAACAACACCTTCCTGTATTGGGGGGGGGGGAACCACGCGCCACAGCCGCACGCGAAAAGGCAAGCGAGTGTGCCATCTCACCTGCCTGGACATCTTCTTGTGCCCTGGAGCAGCTCCCCTATTTTCCTGAGTAAACGGACTGCACCCCCCCCCAACCATCCCGATCTCCCCCTTCTCTCCCCTCCTTCCCTCCCTCCCCCCCCGCCGTTTCCTTTTCATCCTCTGCATGCCAGCTCGGATTGGAAAGTCTTTTGGTTGTCCCCGATTTCCGTTTCTCCTTCTGGGCGCTTGCTTGAAGCTATTTTGTCAGGGCCTTCACAGACAATGACGGTGTCTTTATTTTTTTATATGTTCCTGAGAACTATCGATATATTTATTATCACTGAACCAGTGTTTCTGAATGAAATTTCAAATTAAAAAAAAAAAAGCAAACACACTGAGGTGTTAAAGTTTTGGATATCTTTTCCTCCTCCTCCTCCCCCCTCCCCCTCCCCTTCTCTTTTTCCTGACCTGAAATAACTTGTGGGGGTGGGGATGAGGGGAAAGAGTTGGGACGAGTTGATATGGATTGGCCTGAGAACCAGTGAAAAACAAGTGGGGAAGGGGGGGGGGAACGAGGCCTAAACTTGCAAAGGGAGGGCTAATTTCTAAAACAAGTTACCTTGCTTCTGAGCAAATGTGGGAAAGATTAGATTACCTAATCTATTGGTTGGTTCAATATGGGTGAAGAAAAAACGGGATCCCAAAGGCTCTTACTTAAAAATAGTAACAGTTAAATTTCATCTTTAAAAAGAGGCACAAACGTCTCAGTCTTACAAAGAGTCACCTTTTGTTTGTTTTTTAAAAAAAGGAATATATTTGCAAATTCTTTCAACTGAATCTAGAGACAGGAAAACTGTCTCTAGATTCAACTCCCAGAATTTCAAACTACCAACTGCCCCACACGTGCGCATTAGGTAAGCCAAATTATTTGAAGCCTTTCCTTTTGAAAACACGAATTAAATTCCTAATACCCATAAAATGACTTCAGCGCCTCTGCACAATAGTCAGGCTTGCTTAAAAACAAAATCAAACAAACGGGCCCACGAGCAATGGAGAATAATAAATCTCTGGCTGCCCCCCCCCCAAAAAAAGCTGTGGCAAAAGCAATTGATAACAAAATCGTTTATTTGGAACCACCTTTGCTAAATGTAAATCTGGAATCGTTTTAGTGGTAATATTAGTTTAAATACTTAAACCCATTTCAATCTTTGCACTACTAATCTCTCCAAAACGAGTAAAAAAATTTTTTAAAAAAAATAACCCCCCAAAAGCTACATTCTGCCACGTCATTCTGATCTAAATTTAGCTCTCAGGAGATTGTCTGAAATATTCCTTGCTTCCTTTCCTCGCTTCCCCTTTCCCCAGGAATAGCCACCCTTTTCAATGCTATGTTGCTGTTGGTGATTATTGAAGTTACCGCTCTGGACTGGAAGGGTTGAAAACGAAAACCCTGGGACTGACCTGGGAATGGAAATCAGTTGATCGGTTGCTGTCGCCAACCCAAGCCTAAAGGTTGCCCCTGAGCCTCTTGCGCTGCCCCCAAAGTCTGCTTTGATTTGTTTTGCGTCATTCTGCAGAAGAACTTCACTTTCCCCCCTAAATACTCCACACGCCCCTCCACCTTTTGCTAAGGAGACTTAACTCAGAATCCAGGCTTGCTTTTGTTGTTTGCAGGAAATGCAGCAAAGCAAAAACTCCTAAGTCCTTAGACATTGGGTACGCTCAATTCTGTAAACTCATTTTAGAAGCTTAATAATAACCCTTCTTGAGGGTTTTTTTTTTCCCCCTCAAGAGAAAAGTAAGATATACACTGGCAAGCTTAGGATTTTGTTCGGATAATATACAAACATACCATTATGAGTTTTTTCAAGGCCAAGCTGGATTGATCGAAACGATAACTACAGCTTTCATAAGCCTTCAAAAGAAAAAAAGAAAAGGAAGGAGGGGAGAGGATTTGTTTATTAGATTGGGGCGCTGTGATCGTTAATTTGGTTTGCCAGTCCGGCAACTGTCCCATTCTACCCAAAGAGATGGGCTTTCTCAGACGAAAGTCTCCGTGAGTATGTAAAGGGGGGGGGGCCGAAGAAACCAGTTGTGTCCTTGGTCTTTCTAAGCACTTTCCTGGATAAAAATATTAAAGGCATCGTGTTGACAAGGCGGTAAGATTTGACTTGACAAAATTAAACAGAAACGTTGGATTCCATCTATCTCCGCCGGAAAGATTGAAACGGGGGTTTCTTTTGATTTCCAAACTCTTCCATTTGCAGTAAGTGAAACTAAGCCATTAATTTGGACCGTGGGCTGCACTGGAGAAAATACCCTTTTCTTTTCTTTCTCCTCTATCACTCCTCCTTTCAAAAGAAAAAGAAAAGGCGCAGAAAGAGAAAAGAGAGGAAACTGATTCATACGCGCGCCTTTGTGTGTTTATGGAGGGAAAAAAAAAACACCTCACTGGTCTTCTTCCATAAAGATTTATTTAGGGCATTTTCATGTTTTAGAAGCAGCTGATTTGATGGTGACGCTTCAATGGTTGTTTGCCTTTTGTTTCTGTACAAACTGCCTTACGATTCCGCAGCCCCATCACCTCAAAGGCTGGCTACAAATACCAGATAGATAAATAAATACATTTGGATGCGTTCACTTCCTTGGGCACTGCAAGGGGAGGGGGGGGGAGCGGATAACTTTTATCCGCTCCAGATAGCGCCTCCTTCCTTCCTGCAGACTGAAGTGTGGGTGGACGAGTACCCAGAAGGTGCTGATCCAAATCATTAAGTGTATGTCAGTCATACCCATGACGCAGAGCTTTTATGGGTGTGCGTGAACAAAAAGTAGGGAGAGAGAGGAAATATATGGTGTGTGTGAGAGAGAGGGGGGAGAAAGGGGAGGAGAGGGAGAGAAGGAGGGGGAGAGGGGGAGGGATGCACAATCTAAGGAAGGAAAAGACTCCTGCTTGGTCGTCTGTAGCCAAACCTGAGGTGCCGGACCTGACCGAAAGGCCCAGAGGAGGCTTTTGGCCAGAATCTGACCTTCAGCCGGGCTGGAATTCCCGGGAAGGTGAAGAAGGGCTCTAGAAACCTGCTCTGCAAAGTTCCCCTTCAACTTTCCTTTCTGCCGGGTCTCCAAAATCTGCTCCCCAAACGCTTCGGCTTCTCCGCTTAGCTGCTTCCTGGGTGCGGTCTTAGAAGGGTCTCTTGGAGCGTGAGAGGGTTTGTTTGTTTGTTTGTTTGTTTGTTTGTTTGTTTGTTTTTTGCCCAAGGGGATTTATACTCAGGTCAATGGGTCTAAAGTTGCAGCC